AACTGGTTAGTTTTAATGGGTGCTTAATACATAGAAGGCTGTTGGTTGGGGCCAACTCAGTGCACCAACACTTGACACTGTAAGACTAATTAGATCTGTGAATCATATTTGTTGCACTGTACAATTTCAATTTTCACATACATCATCTCATTTATTCTTTCATATTTTTCCCTTCAAAATAAACAAGATAAGCATTTTGATTTATATGAATAGGCTCCTTCAGGCCTTTACAGCTTTAAGCATGCTGTTTCCCTAGGCCTGGCAAACTCATGTTTATTCTTGATGTTATTTAAAACATCATCTACTTTATAAACCCTCTATTAATGTTTCCCCTGCAAGCAGAATTAGGCTTTTTTATTATCTGTTCTCCTACAACATACTGTTATATAACACTTGGAACACTGTATATTGCTGGTCAAAAATTTGATGTATCTCTTTTCCCTCACCCCATTTTGACCTTGGGAGAGACACTGCAACTTACTCATTTCTGACTCCTCAAATGCTTGATATAAAGCAGGCTAAATTCTTGTTGAATGAATATATTATCAGAATACATTGTATTGCTGATGAGAAAAAAAGCTTTTTATCTCTCTGTGTAAAAGCTTACATGATCTGAGCTCCTGCTATCTCTCTGACCTCATTATCGTATTCTCCCAAGTTCACTCTCCTTTAGCCACACCAGTCTCCTTGTTGTTCCTCAAATATGTCAAATACATCTTACATCAAGATCTTTGCACTTGCTGATCTCTTTGCCTGGAATATTCTTTGTCTCAATTCCTTTGGGTTTTGGCTCCAATGTCACCTTATCATGGCAGTCTTCCCCAATTACCCTATAAAAAATAACAATACTTCCTTCCTACACCAGCATTCTATCCTTATCTTTCATTATTTTTCCCTATAGCATTATCACTTGACAAATATATATTTCTCCTATATTTTTAGTTTTTTGTCTTCTCCCACTAGAATATAAACTTCATGAAGGCAGGGACCTTGTTCAGTTGCTATATTTCCAGCATCTGGAATAGTACCTGGTATGTACTAGGATTAAACAAATATTTGCTGAATGAATGCAATACATTAAAAACAATATTAATAAATCTGAGAAATGAAAACAGTGGCAACTTGGCTTCTAGATGATTTAGTCCTTTTTAACTCCTACCCAAAAATACTCATACAGAATGAATACTAGTATATTAAAAAGGTTACTGTTCTAGGAGTCAGAATGCATTCAGCCCTTCAAAAAATAACTTTTGGATACTCTACTAGATACTTGGGATAAGTATGACCCTAGGAGCTCAAAATTAGAAGACATGGGTTTTTGTTTTGCTTTTTGTTTTTTTGCATAGGGGCCATGTTGATCTTATTGTAATATTCCAATTTTAGTATATATGCTACTGAATTGAGCACAGAAGACTGTGGGTTTCAATCCCCATTCCATCACAGCAACCAACCCACTGACTTGGGCTAATGCATTTTTAATTTCACCAAGTTCCCCCTCCCCCCACCCAAACCATTTCCTCTACTACAAACTAAAACACATCGTCTAGATCCAAGAACTGTGAAAGTCATGAGGTAATATGTAAATACACATTATAAATTACAAAGCCTTATACAAATATAAAAGAATCAAGTATCTCTAAAACGTACTTAAGAAATATTTAGGGGAGGAGGGGCAAGATGGCGGAAGAGCAGGGTCCCCAAATCACCTGTCCCCACCAAATTACCTAGATAACCTTCAAATCATCCTGAAAATCTACGAATTCGGCCTGAGATGTAAAGAGAGACCAGCTGGAACGCTACAGTGAGAAGAGTTCGCGCTTCTATCAAGGTAGGAAGACGGGGGAAAAAGAAATAAAGAAACAAAAGGCATCCAAGGGGGAGGGGCCCCGCGAGGAGCCGGGCTGAGGCCGGGGCGAGTGTCCCCAGGACAGGAGAGCCCCGTCCCGGAGAAGCAGGAGCTGCACCAACCTTCCCTGGCGGCAAGGGGCTGGCAGGGAGTTGGAACAGGACACAGGAGGGCGGGGACGCCCTCGGGCTCCCTGGGGACACTAACAGACACCTGCGCCCTGGGAGAGTGCTCCGAGCTCCCTAAGGGCTGCAGCGCGCACCGGAGTAGCTCAGAGGGGCTCCGGAGCGGCTCCAGGGAGGGAGCTGCAGGGCGGGAGCGCAAATCCAACAGCGCAGGCTCCGGAGCACAGGGCGCCGGGACACAGCCCAGGATCCGGCCTCCCCCGGGACAGGCAGAGGCCGGGAGGGCCCAGGACAGCGAGGACGCTCCTGCCCCGAGCTGAGCAGATCAGCGGCCCCGCCACGGAGCCTCCAGGCCCTGCAGACGGAGAGCCAAGAGCCCCGAGCCCCGTAATTCCTGCGGAGGCTGAATCCAGGCTTCCAGAGTTGCCATAGCAACTGCGGCTGTTCCTCCTGGGGCCTCACGGGGTAAACAACCCCCGCAGAGCCCTGCAGCAGGCAGGGGCAGAGCAGCTCCCCCAAGTGCTAACACCTGAAAATCAGCACAACAGGCCCCTCCCCCAGAAGACCAGCTAGACAGGCCAGTGATACTCCCCCGCGTTCCAATACAACTTGCTTTTGGCCACTCTGCACTGAGCAAAATGACTAGAAGGAAAACCTCACCTCAAAAGAAAGAATCAGAAACAGCCCTCTTTCCCACAGAGTTACAAAATCTGGATTACACTTCAATGTCAGAAAGCCAATTCAGAAGCACTATTATACAGCTACTGGTGGCTCTAGAAAAAAGCATTAAGGACTCACGAGACTTCATGACTGCAGAATTTAGATCCAATCAGGCAGAAATTAAAAATCAATTGAATGAGATGCAATCCAAACTAGAAGTCCTAACGACGAGGGTTAACGAGGTGGAAGAACGAGTGAGTGACATAGAAGACAAGTTTATGGCAAAGAGGGAAACTGAGGAAAAAAGAGATAAACAATTGAAGGACCATGAAGACAGATTAAGGGAAATAAACGACAGCCTGAGGAAGAAAAACCTACGTTTAATTGGGGTTCCCGAGGGTGCCGAAAGGGCCAGAGGGCCAGAATATGTATTTGAACAAATCCTAGCGGAAAACTTTCCCAATCTGGGAAGGGAAACAGGCATTCAGATCCAGGAAATAGAGAGATCCCCCCCCCCTAAAATCAATAAAAACCGTTCAACACCTCGACATCTAATAGTGAAGCTTGCAAATTCCAAAGATAAAGAGAAGATCCTTAAAGCAGCAAGAGACAAGAAGTCCCTGACTTTCATGGGGAGGAATATTAGGGTAACAGCAGACCTCTCCACAGAGACCTGGCAGGCCAGAAAGGGCTGGCAGGATATATTCAGGGTCCTAAATGAGAAGAACATGCAACCAAGAATACTTTATCCAGCAAGGCTCTCATTCAAAATGGAAGGAGAGATAAAGAGTTTCCGAGACAGGCAGGAACTGAAAGAATATGTGACCTCCAAATCAGCTCTGCAAGAAATTTTAAGGGGGACTCTTAAAATTCCCCTTTAAGAAGAAGTTCAGTGGAACAATCCACAAAAACAAGGACTAAATAGATATCATGATGACACTAAACTCATATCTGTCAATAGTAACTCTGAACGTGAATGGGCTTAATGACCCCATCAAAAGGCACAGGGTTTCAGACTGGATAAAAAAGCAGGACCCATCTATTTGCTGTCTACAAGAGACTCATTTTAGACAGAAGGACACCTACAACCTGAAAATAAAAGGTTGGAGAACCATTTACCATTCAAATGGTTCTCAAAATATACCCTAAAAACTATAGAACACTTCTGAAAGAAATTGAGGAAGACACAAAGAGATGGAAAATATTCCATGTTCATGGATTGGCAGAATTAATATTGTGAAAATGTCAATGTGACCCAGGGCAATTTACACGTTCATTGCAATCCCTATCAAAATACCATGGACTTTCTTCAGAGACTTAGAACAAATTATTTTAAGATTTGTGTGGAATCAGAAAAGACCCCGAACAGCCAGGGGAATTTTAAAAAAGAAAACCATATCTGGGGGCATCACAATGCCAGATTTCAGGTTGTACTATAAAGCTGTGGTCATCAAGACAGTGTGGTACTGGCACAAAAACAGACACATAGATCAATGGAACAGAAGAGAGAACCCAGAAGTGGACCCTGAACTTTATGGTCAACTAATATTCGATAAAGGAGGAAAGACGATCCACTGGAAGAAAGACAGTCTCTTCAATAAATGGTGCTGGGAAAATTGGACATCCACATGCAGAAGAATGAAACTGGACCACTCTCTTGCACCATACACAAAGATAAACTCAAAATGGATGAAAGATCTAAATGTGAGACAAGATTCCATCAAAATCCTAGAGGAGAACTCAGGCAACACCCTTTTTGAACTTGGCCACAGTAACCGGAGAAGGACAAACAGTGTATGTTCTCATTCATTTGGGGAATATGAATAATAGTGAAAGGGAATATAAGGGAAGGGAGAAGAAATGTGTGAGAAATATCAGAAAGGGAGACAGAACATAAAGACTTCTAACTCTGGGAAATGAACTAGGGGTGGTGGAGGGGGAGGAGGGCGGGGGTGGCAGTGAATGGGTGACGGGCACTGAGGGGGACACTTGACGGGATGAGCACTGGGTGTTATTCTGTATGTTGGTAAATTGAACACCAATAAAAACTAATTTATAAAAAATAAATAAATAAATAAATAAATAAATAAATAAATAAATAAATAAATAAATAAAATATTTAGGAAATGAAGTGTAGAAAAGTTCTAAGTGAGAAAAATCAAAAGATCCCCATTTAAGCGAATTAAAATAATTATATAATCGCAATTGTAAATATAAAAATATAAAATATAAATTTGGAAATAGTTTCCTTAGTCTGATAATTCTCATTGACGTTAGAAGATACAATAATTGACAAGATGTAAAATCTTGTTCATAATCTGTAATTTATAGGTTATTGAAATTAATAGATGTATTGTAGCTATACTTACCCTATAGGTAAAAACTGGTGCAGAATAAGATTAAGCTTTTTTTGTTCTTGCCAGAAATGTCTGAAGACCAAAGGTATCCATGGAATGACTGCTGTGGGACGAATTATGAAGGCAAGGGCCACCAGGGAGGAGTACTTGACACTATAAACAAGGAAAATATGTCGTCAAGACAACTAGGAAATGAGTTTATAAATTTTCTATTATTTATGCTGTGATATAACTTTTTTAAAAAAGAGCATTTCCCTTTTGGTATAAATAGCTATGTGTACTAGGGTATGTTACTTATACTTTTTGGCTCTTAATTTTTCTCATCCATAAAAAGAGGTAATAACAAAGATCTTTTTCTATTCTAATATCCTAACTCTAGTATTTTAAATTTAGAAGTTATTCTATGTCTTAATGTTGGCCTTGTTTTTCCAGAAGGCATACTAACTTTTAGCCATACAACTGCCAATTGCTTTCCTGATGGAAAAAGATATCAAGTCTCTCCTAAGAAGATAAAAGAAAGTCACACAAAGCCATTTTCTAAGAAAAAATTAATGAATGCATTTAAGGAAATATTAGGATTATTTAAACAATACTGGGCTTCTGAATATATACAATTTTGTTTTGAAAGTAAGGTGCTAATTTTATCCAAATGAAACACCTATATGTATAATTGATAAAAAGCCTACCAGACAAACCTCTAAGATCATGGATAGAAATGTGGATTTTTACTATTAGGACTTCTCTCAATAAATGGCTAAAGAACACTATAATAATTTACTTCTGAGGACTATGGACAGTAGATTATCACATGGGAATAGTGTTAGCTCTGCTAAAAATTGAAAGTACAAAAAATAAAACTTTGTGGTACCATTACATATCTACTAACTAATAAGAAGCTATAGAGAAATTTCTAATGTTGGTGAGGATGTTAAGAGCAGGGATTTCAAATTCAGATGCTTAGAGACCACATAAGTAATAAAAATAAGTGATGTAGACCATAGAGGGAGGTTCAAATACTGTCGTGAAGGAATCCTGGCGTAAAATGTTGCAAAGCCTCTCATTTTTTCAAGAGACCCAGAAACCCAGATTTAATGTAAGATCTCCCAATTTTAAAACTTTGCCAAGTAATTTCCTCAAAAAAACGAAACAGGGACCCTCTTGTCCTAACTGAATCCAGGCAGCCAATCTAAGTCTGGCCAGTGTGAAACTATGTCCAAATAGTGATAATGACATTTAAAAGACCTAAGTCAGGGCAGCCCGGGTGGCTCAGTGGTTTAGCGCTGCCTTCAGCCCAGGGCATGATCCTGGAGACCTGGGATCAAGTCCCGCGTCGGGCTTCCTCCATGGAGCCTGTTTCTCCCTCTGCCTATGTTTCTGCCTCTCTGTGTCTCTCAGTCTCTCATGAATAAATAAGTAAAATCTTAAAAAAAAAAAAAAAAAGACCTAGGTCAGATTTTCTAAATTTGAATGTGAGAAAGTTGGACAATTGGTAGTGAGGACAGAAATGAAGACTAGCTAAGCCTTAAAATTAGACAACTAAAACAGATTAACAGACTGGGCTATTGACTTTTCCTCAAAACTACCTTGGATTCTACATAATTCATCCATTTCATCTATGTAGCTGAGATATTCTGTAATTTTCTTCCAGGCCTGGCCACAAGGTGCCTTTTTCTTATTTTTACTTTTAGCCTTATAAAAAAAGCTCTCATCATATTAGTAAATTTAAGTAAATGCCTTTTCTTGCAGTCAGGAGTCTACTACAGAAATAATCTTATTTGATTCAATTTTCCCAATAACTCTTCTATATAGGAAGAATGGATAGTAGCTTCTTAACTAGACCAAATTATGGCTTTCTCCCTTTCAGTATATCCTAAATAAATACTGGCACTGCAAGAGAATTCTTTCTAAATATTTTATTATGTCATACTTTCAAAAGCTTTCAAGAGGTCCTTACTACTTACAGAAAAAAGTCCAAATTCTGGAGAAGGGCAAAGTCCCATTCCAGCCTCATCTCTTATTCTTCCCTTCTCCCATGCTTCCTACCATGTGTATGGTAGGATGGACAACCTGGCCACAATAAAATGAAGCCCTTTTACAGCTGTTTGTTTGCTCATGTTGGTTGTTCCAATTGCTTTGTATTTGCATCCCCATTTATATAAGCCCAAATCTGGTCCATATGTTTAATTTATTTAAAAAATTGAAGTATAATCAATATACAGTATTGTTATTAGTTTCAAGTATACAATATAGTGATTTGACATTTATATACATTACAAAATTCTCACCACAAAAAAGGTGTTATGTTACCATACAAAGTTATTACAACATTATGGACTATATTCCCAATGCTATACTTTATATCCTCATGACCATTTATTTTATGAATGGAACTTTGTACCTCATAATCCCCTTCATCTGTTTTGCCCATCCACCCATTCCTCTTCCAATCTGGCAACCATCAGTTTGTTCCCTGTATTTGTGAGTCTGTTTATGTTGTTTATTCATTTGTTTTTTAGATTCCACTTTTAAGTGAAATTATATGGTATTTATCATTCTGTCTGACTTCTTTCACTAATATCACTTATCTCAGTAATATCCTTTTGGTTCATCCATTGTTGTTGCAGATGGTAAGATTTCATTCCTTTTATGGCAAGTAGCACATGCGCGCACACACACACCTTCTTTATCTGTTCATCTATTAATGGATACTTAGGTTCCTTCCATATCTTGCCTATTGTAAATAATGCTGCAGTAAATATAGGAGTGCTTATTAGTGTTTGCATTTTCTTTGGATAAATATCCAGACATGGAATTCATGGATCACATCTATAATATTTCTATTTTTAGTTTTTGGAGGAACTTCCATACTGTTTTCCACAGAGGCTGCACTAATTTACATTCCTACCAACAGTGCATGAGGGTTCCCTTTTCTCCACATCCAAGCCAAAACTTGTTGTTTTTTGTCTGTTTGGTAATAGCCATTCTGACAAGTGTGAGATATCTTATTTTTTTTAAGATTTTATTTATTTATTCATGATAGACACACACAGAGAGAGAGATGGGCAGAGAGACAGGCAGAGGGAGAAGCAGGCTCCATCCCAGGAGTCTGACGCAGGACTCGATCCCGGGGCTCCAGGATCACGTCCTGGGCCAAAGGCAGGCGCTAAACCACTGAGCCACCCAGGGATCCCCCTCTTATTTTGGTTTTCATTTGCATTTCCCTGATGATTAGTTATGTTGAACATCTTTTCATATGTCTGTAGGCCATCTGTAAATTTTCTTTGGAAAAATGTCTACTTAGGTCTTCTGCCCATTTTTTAATTTACTTTTTAAAAATTGTATGAGTTCTTTATGTATTTTGGATATTAACCCTTTACAGGATATATCATTTGCAAATAAATACCTTCTTCCATTCAGTAGGTTGCCTTTTCATTTTGTTGGTGGGTTTTCCTTTCTGTGCTGTTCATAGACCCAATAGTTTATTTTTGATTTTGTTGCCCGTGCCTGGGGAGATAGATCTAAAAAAATGTTTCTAAAACTGACATCCAAGAGTTTACCACTTGTTTTCTTTTAGGAGTTTTATGGTTTCAGGTCTTACATTTTAAGTTTATATTTTGTATATGGGTTGATAAAGTTGTCAAGTTTCAGTCTTTTCCATGTAACTATCCAGTTTTCCCAACACCATTTTTTGAAAAGACTGCCTTTTCCCTGTTATATATTCTTGCCTAGCTTTGTTGTGGATAATTAACCATACAACTGTGGGTTTAGGGGCATGTGGGTGGCTCAGTCAGTTCAGTTAAGCATATGCCTTCAGCTCAGGTCATGATCTCAGGGTCCTGGGATCAAGCCCCATGTTGGGCTTGCTGCTCAGCAGGGAGCCTGCTTCTCCCTTTCCCTCCACCCCTATCCTCTGCTCATGCATACTCCATCTCTCCAATAAAAAATATAAAATCTTGAAAAAAAAAAGTGTGGGTTATTTTTGGGCTATTTTGTTCCATTCATCTATAGGTTTATTTTAGTGTCAGAACCATACTTTTTTGATTACTATAGTTTTGTAGTATAATCTGAGATCTGGGAGTGTGATACTTCCTGCTTTGTTTTGTCTCAAGATGGTTTTGGCTATTCAGGGGTTTTTGTTTGTTTTTGTGGTTCCAAACAAAGTTTAGGATTATCTTTTACTTCTGAGAAAAATGCTATTAGTACATTGATAGAGACTGCACTGAATCTCTAGATTGCTTTGGGTAATATGGACATTTTAACAATATTAATTTTCCAATCCATGAATATGGTGTATCTTTCCATTTACTTGCATCATTTTCAATTTCTTTCATTAATGTCTTAGAGTTTTAAGAGCACAGGTCTTTGGTTAAATTTATCTTTAGGTATTTTTTAGTGCAGTTATAAATGGGATAGTTCTTCTAGTTTCTCTTTCTGCTACTTTGCTAGTAGTGTATAGAAACAACGGATTTTTGTATATTCATTTTGTATCCTATAACTTTATTAAATTTATTAGTTCTAATATTTTTTTTTTTGGTGGAGACTTTACAGTTTTCAATATGTAGTATGTTAGCTACAATAATGAGTTTTACCTCTTTCTAACCAATTTGATGCCTTTTCTTTTTCTGGTCAATTACTGTTGCTAAGACTTCCAATACTATGTGGAATAACAGTGGTGAGAGTGAGCATCCTTGTTCCTGACTTTAGATGAAAAGCTTCAAGCTTTTCACTATTGAGTATGGTTATTACCTGTGGGTTTCTCATATACGGCCTTTATTATGTTGAGGTATATTCATTTATTATGCTGAGGTATATTCATGTATTGTATATTATACAGAATGAATAAATGGATGTTGAATTTTGTCAAATGCTTTTTCTGCATCTATTGAGATAATCATATGATTTTTAACCTTCATTTTATTAATGCGGTACATCATGTTAATCTGCAAATAATGATCCCTGCATTTCTGGAATTCCACTTGATTGTGGTGAATGATACCTTTATTATATTGTTGAATTCAGTTTGTGGTATTTTGTTGAAGAATTTGAATCTCTCTTCATTAGAAATACTGGCCTATAATTTTGCTTTTTGTTTTTGTTTTTTGGTATATCAGGGTAATGCTGGCCTCATAATGAATGAATTTAGAAGAGTTCCT